TTTCTTAAAGAGACCATGCTGCATTTCCTGTCAGGATAATGCCATGAAAAGTGTCTTTTTTGCCAAGACATCGCTGTGTTTCCTGCCTGTGATAGTGCCTTGAAAGGTGGTTCTTTTTGAAAGAGACCTCGCTGCAATTCCTGCCAGGGTAGTGCCACGAAAAACGTCTGTTTTTTGCAGGCACATCGCTACATTTCCTGCCGGGATAGTGTCTATTTTTTTTGCCAAGATGTCAGTGTAGTTTCTGCCAGTGTAGTGTCTCACAAACAGGTTCTTTCTAAGTGAGACATCACTGTGTTCCCTGCTGGGATAGTGCCACAAACAGTGGTTGCTTTTAACAAAACAATGCTGCATTTCCAGCAGCTTTAAGCCAACAAAACCTGGTATTTTAGGAATAACATGACATTTTTTAAGCATAACCAATTGGTTCTTGCACCCAAACCTAACCACGTTAACCACAGCGTGGTTGAAACATGAAGTTCCACATTTATTTAGTGATTGGGTTGCATGGAGGAGTAACATAAAAGGTAAGAATGGGAGTGAGACGAGATAAGATGAGATGAGGTGAGAATGATGAAAAAGAAGGAGAAAAATGTGAGGAGGAGGAGGAGGAAAGAATAAATAGACAGGGTGGGAGGTTAAAAGAAGGTAACAATGAAAAGGGTAGAATGAGGATGAGAGAAAAAGAAGGTAAAAAACAACCAAGAGAAATATGATGTATGGATGAAGAGCAGAAAGGTGGGAGGGAAAAATAGGTGGAGAGAAAAGAAGTGTGAGGGAAAATGGTTAAATGGGAACAGAGGAGTCAAAGACGAGGGGGAAGAAGAGAGGGACACAAACACACAGAGGGAGGGTTAAAAAACAAAAAATAAATAATTTGAGAAAAGGAAGTGAGACATGGAAAGAATGTAGGTGGATTTTCTTTCCTATTAGAGGCACAGAGGCAACAGCAGTGAGCAATGGAGAGATGGAGAGTGGGTGGTTTGAGAGAACAATTTCTTCTAAATGTTCTCGAGAGAGAGAAAGTGACAGAAAATGAAAGAGAAAGAGGGTGGAGAGACGTTCTCCTTGATGGACAGGTGGAGCTCAGAGGGGGTAAAAAAAAAAAAAGAAAACTAGCAGGATTATCCAAGACATGCAGAGAATGAGAAACAGACTTTGATCCATGGGATCAAACTACAACAAACCAGCCAAGTCCTCTAAAATGTAAATGAGTTTCTTTCTAAGACATCCACCGCTTGAGGAAAAAAAAAAGTGACACCTACTCTCACAAAATGACTGACAGCTGAGAAATTAAACAAATTACAGGACTTTGTGAGAACGGCAGATAACTTAAATCCTTGATTGACAAAATATCACTTTATTGCAACAGTATATAATGGAGATATTGAATTTAAAGAATAAATTATTCAAATACTGACATTCTGCACAGACATGGCTCGGCAGTCTGTTCAGAGTCAAACGACAGCTGGTCGCACTGGATTCACTGGCCAGCTCATTTTCTACATAGCCAGTGCACCTTTCCAAACAGAGCAATATGCAGCACCTTGATACCATGATGTGCTCCACACTGTTTTTCACTGTTTGAGTCTATAACTCCTCGAACTACCATCAGAGGATTGAAGTCAATAGGTCTTTTTATAATTCCTGATAAGGTCTGAGAAATATTGCTCCAGTGGTTTAATATCCTTGGGCAACTGCAGAACATATGAGCTAATGATGCTGGTGCAAGCTCACAGTACTCACATGAAGGATCTACTTCTGGAAATATCCTAGTCTATATATTGTTATCAAATAAATCCTACAAAGTGCACCTTTAAAACTTCCTAATTCTTAATAAAGTAGATTTACTTCCCGAAACCAAACCTTGCCTTTTCAGCTGGCTGGCCAACAACCTGCTTTGTCACTAAGGCAATGGTTTAGGTTTTGTTTCAACATTCATTTCAGTTTTTAATGCAGTATTTTTTGCCTTTTCTGCAACAGTTTACGGTCTACATGTCTTTAATTTGATTAGAATAAAAGTTCTCTGCTACCACATATTTTTACATGGCGGAACAAATGCACATGTTCTGAACACAGAGTGGAAATCTACATATTATACATTTAGGTAGGAGGACTTGTGGGATCATAAAGCAACCTGATGACATTCCACACTTGCATTACCTGAGCCAGTTAGCTGAAGTGGATTTTAAAGTTGAAAATATTTTGTCAAGGTTTTGGTTCATTTCTAAAAGAAGTTAAATATTAAGATTATCCTCCGAAAACAAACAACAACATTTCACAAATGCCCGAAAATGACATTTGAAGTTCAAGTGATGAAGCTTTCTAGGGACTCTTGCATGATGGGGGCAAAGGAGGAAACAGTGTGGCTGTTATATGAGTAGTGTAAGGCTGCAATCACACAGAAAGTGTTCTGCAGGTTGCAAAATGAGGGGTGCATCGCACTGCCTGTTTTTTTTTTTAATTGAATACCACTAGTAAAAACAAAAATGATTGCTGTGCCTTTTTATTGTAGCCAGGCAACCACCCAATCACGTCTTTACACTAACCTTCCCATCTAATCAATCTGCCGTTTTTTGTTTGTTTGTTTTGTTTTGTATTTCTCACAGTAATCAGTAGCTAGTTCCTGACATGTTGAGGCAGAGGGTACTTGCTGTAGCTCTGGTTGAGGGTGAGAGGCTGTCAGCAGATAAACGGAGACCCTAAAATAGGGGTTGGATCATGGGGGGTACCACCAGTTGGTCCAGGAGCTTCGCCTCCATGATGAACGTTTCCTAGTCTCTATATACAGACTCTACATTCAGTGAATATAGAGTCTGTAGGCAAACCCCGGAGATCTTGCCTCCGGAAGAAGAGTGGATGAGCCCTCCTATTCGTGGTCCCTTTCCTACCGACTACGTTCCCTACCCTAACCAAGTAGCTGTTTCACCAAAGATCGATAAAAAACTGAATCTTCACCACAGAGCTGATTTTCAGCAGTATTGGAAGGTACTGAAAAATGTGTTGCCAGTAAGAGCATCAGATCAGAAAATGCTAAATTTGTTGCTCTAGAGCGCATTGACATGTTGTATGATATATATATTTATTGTTTAATTTAGGAAACCTGTTGTATTGTAAATGTTAGCCCCAAACCTATTATCTAACACAGTTGTGCATGTGTGTTTATCCTGTATTGCACATTATGACTGCAAATATCTTTTTCTAAATGTTACACACCAAAAACAAATATTGGCACAAATCTCTAATGTCTCTCTCTCGAAGGAGAAAATAAAACTAGTCGAGCATTCTGTAAGTTTCATTAGCTGGGATGAAAAAAAGGTATTTTACAAAACAATTTCTCTCTGGGGTGGATGACGTGATGTGCAGAGAAAATAAACTTATAAAACTGATATTTATTTATTATAAATTCATGACTTTTATGAATGTGTGTCCGTTTTTTATGCCTGACTTCCTCATCAAATCATCTGGGTTACGGTGGCTGCACAGGCCCACTTGCTTTTCTATTTACTTTTTGCCAACAAGCCTCCCTACCAGCAGCACCACAATGCTCCAATCCATGACCCAAACGAACCTCACACTGATTGGATTGACTGAGATCCAATCAAATAAGGTATTCTTATGTGACCGGATTTAGGGTCTGCGCATATACAAAGCGCTGACAAGCACAAGCAACAACACACACTTTCAAACGCACACTCATCTGCTCACGCGCGCGCTTGTTCGATCATGCAAGAACCCCCCCACCCACACAGACACACACACACACACACACACACCCACTCACACACAGTCTCTCTCCATGTGAGTGCATTGTGGGAAATCTGCCTTCTGGAGGAGGATATTACATCATGGCATCAGCCAGCTTGCCCAGCCCCGCTCGCCAAACTGAGTTACCGTGGTTACAGCAGTGGAAAATTAAAACAACCCTCACAGGAGTTCAGATTATTATGGAAATTCAAAAGCTAAGTTCAAGTTGTGAATGAGTTATGAGAAGGGGAGAGGTGGAGGAGGTGGGCGGGGTGTTGTTATATTTTCAGACAGAATCATTGTCAGGCAGAGAATGGGAAAGAAACTGACTGATGGATTCTGGGAGTAAAGATTCCCACTTCTTTTTTTTTTTCTTCCTGATGAGAAGTGACATAACTCTCCTGAACTAGGACTCTGAGAGGGTGATTCCAGATACCACTGCTCTACTTCTTCTGCAAATTTAACCTGATGCTTAGTCTCCTGCTGTGACATCACAAGTTAAGGCGTGGCCAAAAGTACTTTAAAGTCTCATATTAAGACGTTTTTACACAGATATTGCACAATAGGGCTGCCTTTGCTTTTTTACACAGAACCAAACAACAGCAGCATGATGCCACCCCAGTATGGGATTACTGAAAGCATACCGGCGTTCTGGAAGCAAAAGAGGTGTGACATGTAACAAAACAGCATCTGCCTCTAGTGTGACATATAACATACGCGTCGGCAGCACTTTCTAAACAATAACAATGCTATAACATGGCAAAAACAATCATTTACTGTTCCTTATATATGGTGGCTGATCTCACTCTCTGTTTGGAAGGTAAAGACCTCTCTGAATTCACTATATCCCCAATTTACGGACATTTTCAACTGCTGTTCTTCATCTTTGAGTTAGCTGCTAACTGCTGCTAGCTGCTTTGTAAATCTCACTAACAACAACATACATTATTAGCATGCTATGTTAGCATTCAGCTCAAAGTACAGCTGTCCTAAACTAAAGTGATAGCATGTTAGTGTTACATTTGACCTTTTCGTGGCGTTGGATCGAAAGTCAAAGAATCATCAGTGTTATTACGACTCATGCTCTGAGGGTCATGAGTTCATGAACAGGATGACAATATTTCACAACAGTCATCAAGATAAATATATCAAAATATTATAATCAGACTTTGACAAATATAATTCCAATCCAAAGCACCCCTGAAAATATCCAGTCCAGTTATTAAAGGTACTTTTAAAATCTTGAGACTCACCCCATTGGCTCTGCTCATGGCCTGGTAGTAGATGCTGTAGCTCTTGGCCGGTGACAGCGGAGGATTCCAGAAACCTCCGTAGCTCTTGTTGTCTCCCACTGTAAACGGCTGCACAACCGTGAGGCTGGATGGGGGCAATTCAGCAGCGATATAGTACGGAGAGTCCAAGATGGAGGCGTTGCGGAAGCTGACAGGAGCCGAGAAACATTCAGGGACTTCGGAAGCAGCGCGGCGGGTCTTGGACTTGCGCTCCTCCTTCACAACGAGCTGGTAGGAGCTGTAAACACAAATAAAGTCACATAAATACATTTACATAATAAAGCATTCACATCTCTCTTGAGCTGTCGTTTCATTTTACTCAGTCAACAAAGCCCCCGTCATTAATCAAGAGATCAGAGAGATGATGGGTTTTCCCTGGGTTTTTTCGAGACAGAGGTGACAAAGGCCTGTGGCGGGGGGCATCTTGACAGCTGTACTTTTAGATACGGTCCCCCCCTCTATTAAATATGAAAGGAGGCCCCCACATGCTTGAGCTTTACACTGCTGACTTGTATAATCAGAACAGACATGTCCTGTGATTTTCAGCCTTCTATGATTATATTTACCCTTTACAGCAGGCACATCCTGACAGCTGAGAATATTACTGTCAGGTATTGTTCCCCCTCTAGTAAATATGAAAGGAGGCTGAGAATCACAGGACATGTCTGTTCTGATGTCACAAGTCAGCGGTCCTGAAATGTGTGTTTCTTTTCTATAATACACATTCTACATCTCGGAGGCGACGTCTTTCCACATATGGGCTTCCTTCGCCTTTCAAACGGGGCAGAGCTCCGTGGGAAACAGTTGGAGAGACACAGCCCGAGGGGGAACCGGAATCTGACACAACACCGGAGGGAGAAGCAGGTCCGTGGAGCTGTGCGCCAGACGAAAAAACAAGCGTGTCACACCAAATGCGCGCCACTACGGGGTCGCTTTGGGTTGTGAGCGTGCATGACACGTGTCTACATTGAAAGTAATGGATTTGTGCGCGCAAAAGACGCTACACCTGAACGCCCCCCATGCACACACACACGCTCTAACCAAGGCAACAGCCGAAATCACCCAGGCAGCCCACCTTTGTCTTAGATAGGCAGGGAAAACCCTGGTCTCTCAAATTTGAAGAAGTTCAGCACGCCTTTTTTCACTCTTTATTTAGGATATGAGAGCTTTGTCCTTTGCTTTAATTAAGCCTCTTCATGCAATATAAAAATAACCCAGTGCCCTTCAACTAGATTAAAGAAGACATTAAAGGTCCCAGATTGTGAAAAGTCAGATTTCCATGTCTTTTAAAATATAAAGCAAGTATAGCTGCTTTATAAATACCATGAAAGTATCAAAACACTCCACAGAGAAATGCACACAGGGCATTTGGGCAGTGGCAGCTAGTATGTGTGCAAATTTAGATTTTGAGCTATGACTCTTATTCTAGTACCCAATAACACAACAAGATGACATTTTAAGACTCCTATGTAGCCTACAGCCCTGCCGTGGTGAGCCTGGAGAGAATGGAGGGGGCAGTTCAGAGTAGGAGACATCGCCTGTAACTCATTTTCTTCTGAATGCAAAAATTAAAATAAAGTTTTAATTAAAAAAAGGAAAAAAAAAATAGGTACAGGTGGGACATTATTCTCTGTGGAGCCCATTGTAATTTAAACTTAATAACAGGTGCATTTTTACCTTAAAAGACGCCTAATTCAGCTAAAAAAGTGATTTGTTTGATCACGGCAGAGCTCCCACCATTAAAAGCTTTAATTTCCAGAGTGCTTTAAATCCATTTTGGCAAAAGGAGCATTAGCAGAGGAGGGCTGAGGTCTGTAAAGAATTCTCAGGAAAATGCCAACTATCCTGTAAAAAGCAGTGTGATTTGTTCCAAGGGTCACTTTTTTTTATTCCAAATGGTAGATTTACTTTAGAGGCAAACTTCAGCTAACTTTCTAACAAAGTAGCTGGCAAATCATTTCTGCTGCTGACTCAGCAGCAAAGTACAAATTAACAGTAAGAAATATATATCTATGTGTGTGTGTGTGTGTGTGTGTGCGGGGGAGAGAGGTTACATCCTACTTTACATACACGTGTGTTCTCATCCACATTAATAAGTCCAGATGTGTCTCACTGTGCTCTGTCTGTGTGCATGTGCACTCTAGCAGGTGTCTATGTGGCTCTACAGTAGCAAGTGTGCTTGTCTGTGTGTTCTAACAGGTGTGTAGAGGTGTGTTTATATACTTAATGCTACTTTGTCTGTGTGTGTGTGTGTGTGTGTTTCCATTCCACTCTGAGAGGCTTCATGAATGGCTGAGGGCTCCTTTAGCGGTCAGGACAAACGCAGCGGCCCTCCGCAATTACCTCCGTCCTCCACGCCAAGAACTCACTTCACAATTATACGCAATTAGGGAAATGTATGTTTCTGTGAAGGGGGCCGCGGCCAATTATCCCCGGCTCCCGTTTGGCAGCTTTCATAAAAGATAATTGCTGATGACCAAAGATGAGTCTCTCCCTCTCTCTCTCTCTCTCTCTCTCTCTCTTTGCTGTTTCTGCCTTTCTGGTGAAATATCCATTTTAAACTAATGGCTTTCAGAGGCTGCACAAGGGATGAAGCAGAGGCCCAGTACAAGGGGCAAATAGGGGATTGTGTGTGTTCAAGTGTGTGTGTGTGTGTGTGTGCGCGCATGTGTTTGTCTTTGGACTTACAGGTGTTCCTATGAGTGTGTCCCAGTGTGTCTCCATATACATCAGTGCTGTTGTACTCGTCTTTGTGAGGAAGAATTCTAGACCTTCAGGAACATCTTAGAAAATGAAAACTATTTGCAAAGTGTGCATTTTTCTGGACAGTGGGCACATTATCTGCAAATTGCCAACATTCTGTAAAGGTGGAAGAGTTTTTGAGAAATGAGGACGGTTGTGCTGATGCTTGTTTCTTCAAAGGGCTTCAGGGTTTAAAGTTGGAATGAAGTTCAGGGTTCAGGGCCAGTGAATGCATTTGACGTTAGAAACACCTCAATAATATGTGTGTTTGTGTGTGCATGTTATCATGTGTGCGAATCTGGCCTTGTGCATGGTTCTGTCTGTACAAACATACAGATACAAGAATATTTTTTATTACCTTCTCTTATATTTTATTGATACAGTGGCGCTGAATAGATCTCTAAACGGATATCCCTGCCAATTTGACTTAGCAGAGTCACTATCCCATGACTCCTCATCGTGGTGCTTATCAGGTGAATGAGGGTAAATGTATCTACATAGGAGGTTAACTGATTTGTGGTGAAGACGCAACTCATAGGGGATAACGGCAGATAGTGCGGAGTCAGGCAGCTGCGGAAAACAAATCTGAGAGGCACAGCCATCTCAAGTTGAAAGACTGGGCCCATTTTCAGCTTTTGCAGCACAAATGGGAAAAACAAAATTGATATATACTTGGCAATATGCAAGACAAAAGATGAAACCATATTGTGCCGCATTTGGTTTGGCAGTGAAATAAACGTGCAAGGAAATAAACATAAACATGAGGTGTTTTACGGACATTGTTTGTTTTAGAAAAAAGACTGTCTGCATCTAAAGAGCAGAAACTGTGCATTTATTGTGAAAACTGAAGTTTATTTTGAAAAGAAACAATGCATGTAACAGGCATAAATTCACATGGTGTCCCAGAACATCAACAACAGATGCACCCAGGATACCTAGTGTGTTATTTGTAGACATCAAAAGTCCACTGAACACCAGTTATAACGAAATGGGACTGAGAATATGTTGGATTTGTGCCCATTTACAAAGATTTATTTCTTCTTCAGTAAAACTAGGGCCGGACCGATATGGATTTTTTGGGGCCGATGCCGATTCCGATATTATGGAATAAAAAAATCTGATAACCAATATATCGGCCGATTAAATTTTTACGTTTTTCAATTTAAAAAACCCCGAAATACCTGCTTTTGATGGCTTAAATATAGTTCAAACACTTGTTACGAAGATATAAATTGAAGGAAGAACATTTTACTATTTTCAAATACTTTTATAAGTCTATATGAATTAAGACATTCACATATATGTTCACAGTACCAGAGTTCTTTTTATTATTGCCAGTTTAACAGAGGTAGGTTATAGTGCAAAAAGTAACACAAGGACATCATTTCTAAGTAAAACACCATATTCCCTTCATTTTATTAGTGTTGATAATATAAGTGTACATCGGCGTCAATCAGGCAACTTTTGGCCGATTGCCGATTATTCTCTAATGGCTATAATCGGCCGATTAAATTGGCCGGCCGATAAATCGGTCGGGCCCTAAAACAGACATCATGATATATATAACTATATAGTACTGATTATCAGGCACAGTCTGCTTTTTACCATTTTAGTTCATTTTTATTAACTTTTGTACTTATCTTGCTCCTATTGTTACTCTATTACGCCCTGGTTTTTCCTTGAAAAAAACCCCCACTTCTGCTCTTGTATATTTGTATATTTTGCCAGATATTTAATACTCTACTGTTTCTAAAACTAGGTCCCGTGAGTAACCCTGACCCACGAAAACCCCTGGTTGTTCTAGTTGTTACTGGTTGAACGTTAAATTGTTGTTACTGTACTTAGTGTTACTGTCATTTGAAGCATTCTCTGGTACAAGAAGTTCCTTCGGGGTAATAACATTTTATTGAACTGAACTGACTTGAATGATGTATCGCAGATTATTGTCTTGCAATGTATCGAGTATTGCAGAATCGCTGTATCGTGAAGCCATTGTTATTGTGGACAACGTATTGTGATAGTATCGTATATGTTTTACTCCAACCTCTAATGATTTCCTGTGTGTAGCTGCCTTCATCTATATGTGTGTGTGCATATACATTTTTGTTTGTGTCTGTGAGCAAGCATGTGTGGACATCCACTGTTAGCCTGTAAAGCTACCCTTATCTGTATGAGAACGAACATATGTGTGAATACAAGCATGCATGCTAATGTGTGTATACATGTTGTGTGTGTGTGCGTGTGTGTGTGTCTCAAGCACAACAGCTGCTCCTCTTAGCAGAGCCATTTTGGTAAACATTCCTCATCTAAGCTCCTGAACTCGAGATGCTCTGATCTCCTCAGAATAAATAAATTAAGAAAAAACAACACTACAATTCCTGCAGAAAACATCAGCGTGCACATTAACCAACAGATGCCTTCTCCCTACTTCCCCACGTACATCTGTTGGCACTTAAAACATGTAATACTTGCACAAAACACACATAATAAGCAAACACGTTAAGGGGCTTATCTCGGGTTGATAAACACATAAAGATGTTAGTGATTGGATTGCAGCCTAATTCAACATGAGATGTATTTGCCATGCGTGAGTGATGAACGGCGAGATATGGTATGGGATTTACAGAAATTAACAGTAAACCACTGACCCACGCTCACATTTCTCAAATCCATTTCCCCAAGTCCAAATTGAAGTGATATATATTCTCCATGCACCCTTGTCGAAGCTGTATTTCCCTAAAGGCAACCGCAGAATTATGTTCTCCCCTACACCAATGAAATGGATGGGATCACATGTTCAAAGTGAACTTTTAATTAAAAAACACGCTGGCTGAAAAAATGAGAAGGGGAGCAGGAATGAATTAGCTGTGTGTCCATTTTAAAACAAAACCAGTGGGTGCAGCGGACCGGGACTGGAGGAATGAGGCTTGAGTGTGTCTTTGTATTTTTGCTCGCTTTTTTATTTTAGGTACTATAAAGAGATTTACAACTGAATGAAGGCAACCTGCTGTTTGTCTCCACCACTACTGTAGGAAAAGGATTTGACTGTATCATCTCTTATAATATTAAAGCCCATAACCTGATTATTAGCATTCTAATCCAACTTTAAAACATGATTGGTGGCTATTCATTAAATGACTAAGCACAATGGGTGTCATTCATGAAATGGTAGTAAATCCGTGAGTAGATTTGCACATAAAAAACCTTGGTACTGAAAAACTACCTCGTCTTCATGAACATACAAACATGTATGTTCATAAATGCCAATCAGTCGTAAATTGACAGCGTGCTCCTGCTTGTTAGCAATAAGCATAGCCTACATCACTGCCCATGAATAGCCAGTGGCCACAATATAAGGAGGTGATAAGTACTATGGACAGGTGCATCCTGTAGCCCTGCAAACACGGAGCAAATAAAGAAAGCGTGGGAGAGACAGAAAAACTTCTACTACTTCTACTTCCGACGCTGATAAAGAATTGAAATTATTTTAGGTGAAGTGGGGTTAAGAAAAACATTTCATTTTCTTCTGTTAGTAGTAGTGTGACAGGGACAGGTAAATCAAAGGCCTGGAATAAGGTAACAGGTGCCGTTTACTCCGTGTCCTCTGTCATAAGAACCATCCAACAAGTTAGACGAAAATGGTTCGACATGAAACACAACAGCTACAGGAAGCTCTTCCCAGTCACAGCTCTCTGCTGCAGACGAATGCATTGCTTACATCATCAGAGTGACGTTTGTCAGTTTGCCCTGAGCAGAGCATGTGAGCGGAGCAGACCGGGTAAAAATTTCTGCTCCTCGCTCGCACCTGTCACTTTGCGCCGCTCGTCCACTCTGCTTGGTTCTGCACATTCTTCGCTCCGCTCCACTCCTTCATAAATTTTATCCCGCTTCACTCGCTCACCACTCCACTCAAAAAAACTTCGTCGTACTACCCTAACCTGTAATCTTCTATTCACAAATAAAACATGAGCTTGGTAGATTCTCCGGGGAAGCCCTCTCCTCTCTCCCCACAATTAGGGACCGTTCTCCACACTACCACTGTTGGCAGGGTGGAAATAAGTCAAAGTGTGGAGGAGACGGACCAGGTTAAGCGGCCGACCTCCGGGGAAGCCCTCTCGCCTCTCCCCGCAGTTAGGGACCGTTCTCCAAGGTACCGCTGCTTCTCTTCTCAGTTTCTTTTCTGAAGTACACAGTAAACTCCATAGTTTTGAAAGAAAATAGTGTGGGTGTCCGCAGGTGCAAAGATGCATTCTGGGTGGGGCATGAGCAAAACTGGAGCGAGAGATAAGGCTCCGCTCCACCTTTTAAAAAAATAGCCGCTCCTCGCTCAACACAAAATCCTTCCGCTCCCCGCTCCCCGCTCCCCGCTCAGCTCCGCTCCACTCACATGCTCTGGCCCTGAGCCTCAGTATTGTTTGTCACTGTTGTAAAATTACACCACTATTAAAACATCTTAATACAGGAAGTCTAATGTCAGCAATAACCCTCTGTTACGTTTAACAACAAGTACGATACACCGTCTGCCAGATGCGAGTGGCGAGTTCAGCTGGCGAGTTCACCAGCTGCCCGGTGTGAGCAGAAACACGTCCACAAGTCTTATCAAACCAAAACTCAATTTGAAATAATGTTTATGTCTCCTACGTTGTGTCTCTGACAGTTAAATTAGACAATAATGAGGTGCAGTTTGGGGCTGTGGTGCGTAAAGAGTGCAGAGGAGGAGTGCGTTGGTTTGTTATTTTATTCATTCAGAGAACAGCGTTTTCCAGTTTTGAATTTAATCGATTTAAATAACTCATTTGCGTTTTTAAGAAACCTAATATGAAGCTTAACTCTGCTAAATGCCAACTAATTTAACTAAACGTGTCACATTTCCAATCTTTTGTCATGTTTAGCTTAGATGTTTCATAGGCATCTATGTATTGTGACAGAGCACAATATGAAAATAAAATTGTTCTAATAATGACAAGCAGCATTTATGTGCAATACCTTACTGACACAAGCACGACCAGCAGTCAGAAGCAGGTGTAGATTTTGTTGGTATCTTCAAAAAGACAGAAAGCTGAAATACACGTAAAATTTCCTTCTGCAAACAGTTTACACACAAATTTGTTCTGCTCATGTTTCATGAATGAGACCGAGTGTTTCCATAGCTGATATATGAACTGTAAAAGCATGTCTGCGAGTATACATGTCTGTTACTGTGCTCTCTGCCACATATGTGTTTATCAAACCATGACTGCATGTATTTTTGTGCATAATGTGAAAAAACTCCCTAAAAACATTTACTTTATCGCCTTGTGCCAACAAGCTGTTGGCAGAGTGCTTCAGTTAAAGCAGTCAAGTCTAAAGTGACCGGACACTGATTGCCAAATTACCATGAGACATTTAGGCCTGTCATGTCCACTCCGAGTTGCATCACCACAGGGCAGCGGCTAAAGCTTCAGGACGCAAGTGACTAAAGACGATAAGTTTCACTGCCAAATCTATAAAAAAAATGAAGTCCCATTCTCCGAGTTTCTTTGCATACAAATTGGACTTATATGTGTGAGTGATTTCAGTGGCTTTAAAAGAGACCCTTGAGGAAGATGAGAGAGAGAGGAAAGTGGATGTAAGAGGGAAAAGAAAGAGAGGGTGGAGACGAGAGGAGGAAATGAAAGAGATGAAAGTAGGAGGGATGTTGAGAGGACAAAATGGGTTGGAGAAGAGGAAAGCAGAGGACAGAAGAGATGGAAGGAGAGGAAACCAGAGTACATAACAGGAACTTATATAAAAAGCAAAATAAAGATACAGGTAAGAAATTACCTGATAGGTGCGCCACGTGATTGGGCGGGCTTTAGCAGGATGGTGATGGTGGTCTCTGTCTCGTTCAGAGGAGCCTCAGACTCGTACTCTGGCATCATCGGGGCTGATGGTAAAAGAGAGAAAAGAAAAACATACAATGAAGCTAAAGAAACTGACATGTCAAACCAGGATAACTTTTACTGAATGATGACGCAGGAAGTCACAGTGTATTGTCCAGCACAATAACAACATTACTGTAACTGAACACACTGACCCCGCCCCTTGCTCTGTTATTTTCCTCAACCCAACAGGCACCTTTCAAAAGGGTGCAACACAACAAACATAAGTTTCAAAGTCTAAAATGAGCTTTATGTCAAAGGACAGTGAAGCAATGCAGGAGAGAAAGGGATGTTAGATTTCGCACGTTCTCCAAAAATGATATACAAATTCTCAGGACACAACATGAAAGGTTTACATATGTTTTCATTTCGGATTATTCAGGAGATGTCCGAAAGCCAACATGGAACATGTCCAAAAACTTCAGTTCCTCAAATGGCTACTTAAGGCTGGCTTCAATAGTGACTCAATCTCCATAAACACTCCACATTAAAATGCCCAACTTTGTTTACAGCCTGGTCCAGAAATGGTTTTGGTCTTGATAGCTAATTTTTCCGTTCATGCCAACTGAATTCTAATACAATTTACCTGTTAAATTGTTTTTAAGGCTTAAAGTTATGCATTATTAAGTGCATGGCTGCTTTGAGTGACAGGTGGATGCCATCAATTGACAAGTTACTACCACAGCAACAACGTTGGTTAGGCAACGTAACCATGGCCTCAAAAATCAGATGTTAAGTTTTTGCGGTAAGTACACTTTGTTTTAATGGTTCTAAGCTTATTATTTGCTGGCGGAAATTAGCATTAGCATTAGGAAACACCTTCTTAACCACGCTAGCAACTAGTGTTAAGATTAGCGCCACCATATAGTCACCTCTGGCTCCAAAAATCCAAGATGGTGACGCCAAATTTCGAAACTCGAGGCTCCAAAATGGGAGTCAACAAACCTGCATGTCAAGGCCAACCATTTGTCATAAATACAGGAGGTACTTATCCCCATCTACACGTCAACCTCTTGAGTTAATACTGAAATAAATCTCAGCAGAGGTAAATATATGATGTAAAACAAATCCACAGATCTGTTCTGGCTCTGATCTTTTGTTTTGACATTATTGTGTCACATCCTGACAACAGTGATCTTATCCAGTGCTGTTAAGAGCAACACAAAGATGGATGTACGCTTCACTCCGCAGACATCCCATTACATTCAGGTTTTTAATTTCACATTTGTCATGGCCTCATATTGAAGGTGCAGCATCAGTGCCTGTCTGAGTAAAACATCAACAGTTTTTCCCCTGATTGGTGTGGCATTTAGGATATTAAGACGAGTCCAGCCCCTCCTCCCATGTACATCCATCTCTATCTGTCTGCATCGTTTAATTGAAGTCTCTTCATCCTTGGGTCCCTGAATGAGATAATGAAGATTGGGGATGGCGTGACATTTGGAGGGAGACGTCTCTGTTATGTGTGGAAGTGCTACCATTTTTTTTTTTTTTTTTCTAGCAACATGTTGTTAAGATTTCAAAAGATGAAGGAGTAATGGAGGCTCAGTGGAAAGGTCATGCAAAAATCACTGTTGGTGTTGACAGATCGGACGATGCTAATAACATGCTGATGACACATTAGGACTGTAGTCCCCTGTAGTTCAATCAGCACTTAACAATACCAGGACTCAGGATTCAGTGGTGTGGCTCAGTGGCTAGAGAAAAGCATCAGGACTGCTTATATTTGGGTTCAAGTCAGAATTTTAAACTTCAGCACTATAAATAAGAGTTGTCTATACCTCTTTTGATAGCACTGCAATAAGAAAAAAAAAGAGTCCTGGGGCTTTTCCCCCAGTTTCATAGCTTCAGTACATTCAATACTAACAAATTTATAATTAAGGGAGAACACTGGCAGCTGCCCACTAACCTGCATGCAATTAATACTTGTGATGCAACGCAATTAGTCACCACCATTAATGAATTCATCTTGAATCAAGGCTGCATTAGCGCTGGAGACAGCTGACCCTTCACTAAGTCTCGCCCCTCAAATGGCGACTGACCAATCTTAGAGTAGCACGGGCCAACTCCAACAATGATCCGACAACTACACAGCTGTGCTCAATACACTAGACAATTTATATTTTCCTCATTTTTGGGCTGGTATTTCAAGCTTTGGGTTTTGCCCGGGGCATGTGTAATGGTGACACACAATACCTGGTGAGGTAACAAGATTTCTTTTTCATCCCAAAACAAAAATCAAACCCTGGAAATTGTAGGGTTAGCTACGTAGCCACTGAAGGTATTTTGTCTACTGAATTTATACACATGCTTCTTTCTGTTTTTATTGATCATAACACTGAATTATGACCGACGCTGTTCTACAGGAACCAATAAGGAGAAGCAGAGAAACTTTGCCAATTTTCAACCAGCTGTGTGTCATGGCAGTATGTGCAGATGAGTGATGTTCGGCTTAGCCCTGCACCCTGTCTGTCCACTGCTGGAGCTCCAGATGCTGGCAGCATGGGTGAAAGCTTAACACTGTTCATCTGCACATACTGCTGTGACACATAGCTGGTTGAAAATCATCAAAGTTTCCCTTTATATTCATTGTCTTCTGTGGCGATCAGCAGTGATGTGGTGGTTCACTTTTACACTGTGATCTGTAGCCTATAGTTCGGCTTTAGCTTCTAACTATCTTTGTCTTTTTAACCCGTGGTTGCTGCTGAGTCAGTTTGACATCCTGGATATATCCTTCAAACACAGACTGTAGACCATTCTGTGTGCTTCTCTCAGAAATTGCTTTTTGAGTTTTCCATAAATTTGAGAACATTTCTTCAAGGACTGCAGTTAGTTACGGTGAAGGCTCCATGCTAGCTCTGACAGCTTGACGGACGATCACAAACTAAAGGTCACAACTACCTCAATGAGGAGGAAATGGAAATAACAACACCTGTGACTGAAAGACAATCAGATGTGCCATTTGGGAAGGCATTTTTAAAGAAAAGTAAAAAAGAGATGAAATGACAGCGATAGAGAAATAAAAAAGGGGAGAAAGCAGTTAATATACAGAAAGAGGAAAGGGAATTTAGATGAAAAAGAGCAGAGAGACAGAAGGAGAATTAACGCAAGCTGGAGAAGGACAGCCAGGGTGAGTCAGAACAATACAGGACAAAGAGAAACATGCAAAGAAAGGAAAAGTAAGAGTTCTTATTTTGCATTAGTAATTCTGTCATTTAAACAACAAAGAATGCTCTTCACAAAACAGCTGGAATAAGAAAAGTGCAGTCCTCCTGCTCCAGAATAAAGAAATGCATCAACATGTGCAGTCACTTCACAGTTCTTGCCACAAAACTTGATTGTTTTCCTTTTTTTGGGTGCCACTGACATTTTCGTTGGATTGAGGCAGGTGACATAAACAGAAGGTTACAAATGGAGAGGAAAAGCCAGACAGATATGAAAAACGGTCACTCAGACAGACAAAGACACAAACAAAAACACAGACTGGCAGATTTACTGATGAACTGAGTGACATGCCATCCCACCACCTGGCCAACAAACAATACCTTCAGCGTCTTTAAGTGCCAAAGAAATGTCCCCAGAAATGAAAGGACACAGTCACACTGACAATTAACACATTGTTTCCAGAAGCACAAAATATGACAAAGGATTTTTACCTGCTATTTTGGTGGTGATGCGGGTGGTGACGGGCGGGCCAAAGCCCTTGTTCGTGGATGCTTTGAGGGTGAAGAAGTAGGTTGTCCCTGGGTAGAGACCTACGAACAGGTGATGGGTCTCATTCCTCAGCCTGAACACCCGTCCCCTCTGGGTTGTAAGATCAGCGCTGGGGTCCAGTGAGCTCAGGGCCTTGTAGGTAATCTGCAATGAGACAGGAGACACACTTTTATACACTTTAGCTTTACATAACAGGTTGCAATCTAACCAATCTTGGCTTATGCACCATTAATCTACATCCTCTAAAAGTCTTTGTTTTTGCCACTAACAGGCACAGAATATTATAAATATAGTTATGACTGGACACATTTCAAAAACTGTTGTCTCTATTAGTCACTTGGACATAAAAACTAACATAAAAAATAGGGTCCAGGTTAAAAAATACCTAAGCTACCCTTTAAAGACATATTTTTGGAGGTATGACTCTGTTCTGGGGCCTCTCTGCCTTTCCTCGGGCCTCTGCAGAAAGCCTAAGGTGGAGAGAGCACACCTTGCTGCCCTTCCATGTGCAAATGAGTAAAGCCTGACAGTGTGAAAGCTAACCTCCCTGCCCTTCCATGCGTCTACATGGAAAGACTAAGGCAGGAAGAGCAGCAGCAAAGACCCTCCAGGAACAGAACACAGCAGTATCAATGACAAGCAGAAATGACACTGATAAGTCAGACACAGCAAAAGGAGGAGCTGGGGTGGAGGCAGGTTGCATAGTGGCTTGCAAAGGAAGTAGCAACAGTAGGCAGGGCAGATCAGTTTAAATAGGGCGCCCTGAATGAGATTCAACAATTGGTTGCATAGAAAGGAATCATGTGAGGAATCAGCTGACTCCCTTCCACCAATCAGCCGCTCCATCTGTTGATTGGGCTGTTTGAGATCAGCTGATGTGAGCTGACATCGTGTCCTGCCTGAACTAACACTATGCTCAATTAGTTTAATCATTCGGACATAAAAAATTCAGACTGTAAAACACATTAGATTTCAGATTATTCTGATTTTGTGACTAACTGAAGTCTAAACTACTGCCCATGTATTTCCCTTGTTACACTGAGGAATATCCCCATGAGTGTTTCTGTGCAATGTTCCATCATTTTTAAGTTGTTTTCATTTTAAGTCCAAAACAAACAGCGAGCTTTAGAGTTTGACCTCCGAACCACCTCCGATGTCATGTCGGAGAAAATCCAAAAGATCATTCATCTGTTATTAAACTGTGTGTTAAACTTCAGTCAGATCAATATTGGAGATGAAGTGGTGTTGGCTCTTTACTAGAGGTCTGTGTTTCTCCACATGAGCTCCACTTTGAGACTGGAACAAACTGAGCAAATTGACCCATGGCCACTAAACTGGCAGAAGCACTTCAATAGTTCTTCTGTTAAAAGAGCTATCAATGTCTGTCGTAATGTTGCTACTGGCAACTTTCCACAATGCACAACTGTCAATGATTGCACGCACACACACACACACACACACACGTGGTTGAACACTGGAGGACAGCTGTCATTGTGAATGACAGTCAGTACAAAAGAGTATTGACTGGTGGGAAAAACACACATTAATAGCAATTCAACCCCAAACACATTTCAGCCTCTCATAAAGTACGTGCGTTTGTGAAAATGAAAATACAGGTTATATAAAGTGTGGAGGCAAGGTGAGAACGAGCGAGGGAGGGAGAGAAGAAGGATAAATAAAAGAGACAGATACTAAGACAGACAACATGAATGAACCAGAAGGCACCCGGTGGAGCGGAAACCTCCACCAACGCAATTTTTTTTTCCTCCAACTTGCAGAGCCACGGCCCCTGGAACGGTTCATGTTTCCTGTCATTTGTCTTCTGGGTTTGATTTCTTGACGAAACACAAAGTGAGGGCAGCACTGTTTAGCTGACTGCCAACTACGAGTTCCCAGAGGAAAACTTTCCCACCTGCATGAGTGGAGCATCATCACTGTGGTTACAAAAACAAAAATATATCCAATAACTAAATCTCATACTCACATCTCCATCAAACTCAAAACATACTTGGTTAATATCTGGGATATATTACAATCAACCGATGAATGGGGTAAAACATAAACATATCTTATATAAAGTGTGGGTTTGAAGCAGAAAGACGCATATAATATTAAAAAAAAATAAGCAGGAAACAGATATTTGGAGTGTGAGACAGAAAAACAGCTACTCTAATTGACCAGGGTTCTAAGATAGGTAGCACATAACCAACTCTCAAGATTAGATTCAGCCAGGGAGCTCTGTTGCATGTGATCCCCATTTCCCATCTGCGCATGCTTCCTGTCACACTCTGTTTGGTCTACTAAAGCCAAAAAATATCTTTAAGATAGGTTCTCATTTCGGAAAATGGATAATTCCAATCCTTGATTATGATTCCCTGCGTTCAAAGCTGCTGTAAAGTTACCTATTGTCAAATGGGACGTAGAGCTAAAGAGGGCGACCTCCAACTGAAGCCCGAATCATTTTTCATCCACCAGGGCGAAAGTGGTCAGAAGGGTTAGGGTTAACCCATGTCATTGGTCCGACAGCCCATTAGTCCGACGTCCTGTTGTTCCGATATGTGATTATACTAGGCTATACTGTATTTGTGTACCATAGAGGATCAGCAAACACAACAAAAGTAGGCTGCTGGTCGAGATACAAGTGTCATAGAGAGGAGAGAATGAAACACCATAACCTCTTGTTATTAACTCTGGGGTCGGGATTGTGTGGGGAGCTCTCCGCGGTGCTGAACGGCTCCCGGCGGGCGTATTTCTGCCTTGATGGTGCGCCGCGACCGGCTCTGGGTCAGCTGGGAAAGGCTTGAGGCAAAGCAGGCTCACGGCTTATGTGTTTGCCACTTTCTTTTTCATTTTAACCCACACCATGATCTTTTCCTGACCCTAACCAAGTGGTTTTTGTGCCTAAACCTAACCAGACCTTAACCACAGGGCATCATGATGATTTCGGAACAACGGGACTTCGGAACAATGGGTTTAATATGGTTGGACCAATGGGCTGTTGGACCAATGGGCAGACCCCCAGAAGCACAAAACGCTATCATTCAACAAATGCACACAAATATGCTACAAAAGAGATAAAGAGGGCGTACAGGGATTTTTGTTTGACCCCACTGTGTCCTGTTGCTTCACTGGACAAATAATGTTACCTGTCGTTGCTGTCGCCCAATCCAGTGACCTTTTATCTCCATCCAAAGTAGTCAAACGACAGCAACAATGGTAAGTTAATGTAGCTACTAATGTAGCATTAGCTAGCTTTCATGTTTATAGCCTATTATGCTCACTTTTCTCTTGCTATGTTGTCGATTGCTAGCGATATAATTTTTGTTAGTATGGCTTGGTTACTCAACTGGGCTTCACTGAAACCAAAATCAGTTTTCCAGGATGTTGCGGGTATTTTTTGGAATTGTTGTCTCTTCATTCAATCAATCAATCAATTTTATTTATAAAGCCCAATATCACAGGGCTTTACAGCATATGACATCCCTCTGTCCTTAGGACCCTCAAAGCGGATAAGGAAAACCTCCCCCAAAAAAATCCTTTAACGGGGGAAAACAATGGTAGAAACCTCAGGAAGAGCAACTGAGGAGGGATCCCTCTTCCAGGACGGACAGATGTGCCAATTGAAAAAGTGAACGTGAGTACAAATAATGACCGTTTCCTTCACTCCATGGACACTAAAGTAAATACTGAGCCCAGTTTTCACAAGCCCCAACCCTTCTTTACATTGTGACACTGAAATGGCATTTTTCTTTAGACAGACAAATCAGGAGAGAATTAACTTTGTCTCTGTTTTAGCAACACACACTAAACAGATCTGACATCAACTGACGTGATCTTACACTGGGTTGATATCAGATATTAAGCTAGTGGATAAAAACATGTGGCAAAATAGGAAACAGACATTGAATTTGCACTGTATAAAGTGTTTTATCATTTTGAATCTGCTTTCACCCATCCACATGACGTTAACCACACTTCCAAATGAGGTAGGTGGGGTAGACAGGGGAGAAGTGACCACGTTCAATTTCACACCATTTGCACAACTTGTTATGCGTCATATTTGGTTTTCAAGTGTCTTTAGTAAGGTATACTAGAGCCCGTAGGAGTTAACTTTGGCTTTTCCATGGAGGAGCCGTCACTTTACAGTGCATCTGTGTGTTGCTTGGCAACCATTCAAGTGAATGCCGCTTAATTTTATTGTTTGCTGTGAGAATGATTATTTGTTATCAATATATTATTGCTTTTATTGCTGCTGTGTGTTTATTTTGTGAAACATTTCCAAAAAATATGTAGTAACCATTTTATAAAAGCAATAAGCCACATGTGGCGGTGGTTTATAGTGATTTTAGAACAGCTGAGAGGCGCTGTAAGGCACTAAAATCACGGCCTCGTGTGGCTTATTGCTTAATTGTTCTCCGTCTCATTCACTCTGAGCTGGTGTCCCAGTAACACTAAAACATGTACTGATGTGCCGAGAACTTCAGGCACTTCCTTTCCTCTCTCTGCAATGAAGCTGCTTTGAAACGAATGCACACAGAACACAGAGAATAAGAAAGAATCGCAGTGAGGCAGAGAGGAAGAGTGAAGAAGAGACACAGAGAATGTGCGGAGATATGAAAGACAGGAAGGGAAAGAGAGAGGCAGAGAGAATGAATGAATGCAGTCCAGGTTCAAACACACACAGACACGCTTGCACAGGCTCACACTGAAACAAGAGAGGGATTTAATTTAATGTACAAACTGATTATCTTTATGATTATCTTTAAATGCATTACCATTTGGTATTGTTGTTCCTAATTTGCATTCCATTAAAAAAACTCTGAATTGGAAATTGAGACAGGGAGAGAGCTATTCAGCTTACACACCCAGAGCAGTTCATTTTCAGTTTTATTACATGCTTCGGTAAGAAAAATAAATACAATACTGTTGTGTGTGAAAGCATATTGAATTAAAATAAAACTGAATTATAATAAAGAGGGGACAAAGGAAGTGTTAAAGACAGAGAGAGAGCCAAGGTGAAAGAGAAAGTGAAGACTGAGCCAAACTGAGAGTCTGAACAAGAGGGAACGAGACAAGAGAGCAAAAAGAAAGAGAGTGATAACAAGTGATGCAGATGGATGTTTGTGCAAAACGGGCACCTGGGG